GACTGCAACTCCCTTATCAGCCCCTATCAGTAGTTATCGCTTCCAGTCACCCACGGTTGATGTCCCCATCTCACCCTCTATATCACTTGCTGAAACGATGCCTCGCTGATGCTGTCACCCGCGTTATGAATATGGTGACCTTCCCCTTCTAACGCCTCTTATCGGATCTTATCAACTGATATCACTTCCTGTCACCCACCAATAGTGTTCCCGTCACACCCCTACATCACTTCTTGAAATCAATGTCTCACTGCTACTGGGACCGGCGCTATGAATTTCGTGACACACAGACAGCACATAATATATAGTAGGATACTTTTTATCTTTTTTCACAATTATTATCATTCTTTGAGTTCTTTCCTTGCTGAGATTCGATTCCAGATGGGTGTCCTCCTGGGAACTTTGTCTTCATAAATGATGCAGGAGATACTGCCACATGTGATCCGTTCAATCCTCCGAATGCTCCTTGTCCAGAAGGTTTCACCTGCCAGTGGTCCACGGCAAATCAAAGGTGAAACTCAAATGAATCTTATTAAGGGTTCCACCCTGTTAACTCTCGCTTACAGATATCAGTGCTGCGGTTCGAATCCTTCACCGCCATCCGTCAGAGTTAGTAAGTGACAACACTTTCCAAGTTTTTCTTACTTCCTTTTCAAAGAGCTGTCTACCTTCTAGTGCCCCACTCTTCGAAATTTAAGCCAGATCCTAGTGGAAAATTTTCTCTTCCATCAGCGCCACAGGTACACTCCTTATCCCTGAGACGGAGTAGGCGTGGCATTTGGACATGGCATAGGATGGGTTACTCGTGGGATATTTCAACTTGAGACAACTGTCATCTTGTTCTATGTTGGACAAAGACATGACCACAATCGTCTCAAAATGAAAACGTCTCACCAAAGCACAGTTACCGCCGCCACATTGAGTTGAATTACGCAGCCACGCCTACCTCATATAAGGAATTTCGAGCGTAGTCTCAATGCACGGCCCATGGCGCACGAAAAAAGCTTTCCATGCCGTGCTGGAGTACTCTTGTTCAGGATACCAGGA